AAGAAGACATACAGGAGGCCAACAATCATATGAAAAAATGCTCATCATCACTGGTCATTAGAGAGATGCAAATCAAAACCACATTGAGATACCATCTCACGCCAGTTAGAATGGCGATCATTAAAAAATCTGGAGACAACAAACGCTGGAGAGGATGTGGAGAAAAAGGAATACTTTTACACTGTTGGTGGGAGTGTAAATTAGTTCAACCATTGTGGAAGACAGTGTGGCGATTCCTTAAGGCCTTAGAAATAGAAATTCCATTTGACCCAGCAATCCCATTACTGGGTATATATCCAAAGGACTATAAATCGTTCTACTATAAGGACACATGCACACGAATATTCATTGCAGCACTGTTTACAATAGCAAAGACCTGGAAGCAACCCAAATGCCCACTGATGATAGACTGGACAGGGAAAATGTGGCACATATACACCATGGAATATTATGCAGCAATCAGAAATGATGAGTTCGTGTCGTTTGTAGGGACATGGATGAATCTGGAGAACATCATTCTCAGCAAACTGACACAAAAACAGAAAATGAAATACCGCATATTCTCACTCATAGGAGGGTGATGAAAAATGAGAACACATGGACACAGGGAGGGGAGTACTAAACACTGGGGTCTATTGGGGGGAACAGGGGAGGGCCAGTGCGGGGGGAGCTGGGGAGGGATAGCCTGGGGAAAAATGACAAATGTGGGTGAAGGGGAGAAAGGAAGCAAAACACACTGCTATGTGTGTACCTATGCAACTGTCTTGCATGTTCTGCACATGTACCCCAAAACCTAAAATGCAATAAAAAAATTTTAAAAAAAAGATTGTGCTGAATTTAGGATTGGCTCTTAATCCAATATGACTGGAGTGAGACATGTGGGGAGAACATATAATCAGGTTATGTGTTCATGGCAGATTGGAGTGATGCAGTGGCAAGCCAAGGAATACTGATGATTGACAGCCATCACCAGAAGGTAGGAAGAGGCAAGGAAGACTTCTACTCAGAGTGCCAGAGAGAGCATGGCCCTGCTGACACCTTCATTTTGGACTTCTAGTCTCCAGAATTTTGAAGGAACACGTCTATTGTTTCAAGTCACCCAGTTTGTGGCATTTTGTTATGGTAGTCCTAGGAAATCAACACAAGGATTATTTTAAAGTTGGTGGAGGAAGGTTGGAAATGGACAGGAGATGATTCAAGGTCTGTCTTTGCCTTATCTCAAGTCATAAGTTGTGGGTTGGGAGTCCCTCGGTCCTGAAGTTTGGTCAGGAACAAAGATAAATCCACTCCAAAGTTATATAAGTCATGGGAGGGAGTTCAATTTCCAAACAGTGATTTATATCTAACATTTCCAGGGTCCATCTGTTGTGTAAAACAAGGTGTATCTTGGCTTTATTCAGCCAAAATTCTTGCCAGAAATTGGGTTATGATTTTCTTGCCCAAAGCATTTCACATAACAATCTACCTGGCAAATGGGGAACAGTTGTGAGCCAGAAAGCTCCCTAAGATTGGATAGGTTAGTAAAATGAGCAAGGAAAATGGGAAACTGGAGGAAAAACAGTCCTTTCTTTTTTTCGTTTCAAATTCAGGAAAGGATTTAAAGCATAGGCATTGAAGTACCTCTCAAGGATACACATCTATTTATATTTTTCAGAGATCAGGAGGAGAATGCACATAAAGCCTTTGAAAATGTGTGTGAATAAACGTCTATGTGAACATATGGCAGGGGAGTGTGATCCTGTTAAACACTTGCTGTGTTTGGCATGAGCAACGAGCTAGAATGCCTACTCACTTAGTTCTTCCCACCCCCTCAGATGTGTGAGTCTTAGCAGGTGGGAGGATCTGTGGCTTGCTTCCTGAGGTCCGTGTAGGAAGGACAAACTTCAGCCCCAACCACAACTAGGGAATGCTTTGTCCAATGCAAAGGCAATATCAGGACACAAATAGAGAGTACATGTTACTCTGATAGAGCCTAGAAAATGTGCGGAAGGAAGATGCACAGCGCAGAGGGAATGCGCTGATGTGTTGGCAGGGCTCTGTCAGTACCTATGAGCTCTGTATGGCATTGAGAGGCCATGTGTCAAATCAAACCTTCATCCACACCCTGCCAGGCCTCTCTGCCATTGATGGCCAGCTTTAGAACAACTGCAGCTTTAGGATCTGAAATGGCTGTGGCCTAAAACCTCCACCCAGAAACTGGGAAGGCTCTTTGGCACCTGCTGTTTCTTTTACTCTGGGCACTCTTCTTCTCTCTGCTAGCTCATCCTTCAGGTCTCAGCTTATTTGTCACTTGCTCAGATAAGAGTCACTGATCACCATGTTCTTCTTCAGAAGTCTGCACATTTGTAGTAATACAATTTTGTTTATAACCATTGTTTAATACTCCTGTCCTTCTCATCAGATTGTAGGAGATTCTTTTCTTCTCACTGCCATTTTCCTGAAACCTATAGAATGCCTGACATATGGTAGGCATTTGAGAAATACTGTTGACCATTTGGCAGTCCACTATTCTCCTACTTGAAAAAAATTGCTGACTTATAGTTTATTCTCAAGTAAAGGAAGAAGGGTGTGGTGAAAGAGACTTAAAAACATTCCACATTTTCAAAGAACTCCTTCACCTTTAAAATGGAAGGAAGAAGGGAAATAAGAAAGAGAGGGAGGGAGGTAATTAAATGGAAAATGGACAAGGGTTATGAAGAAGCAAGTCACAGAAATTCAAATGGCCAAAAATATATAAAAAGATACTTATCCAGACTAGTAGTCTAGGAAATTAAAGTTAAAAACAATATTTTATGCCCTTAGATTGGCAAAAATTTAAAATATTGATAAAATTCACTGTTAGCAAGGATTTAGGGAATAGAGTGCTGGTATACACTACTGGTAGAAATTCACAATAGCGCAATGTATATGAAAGATACTGGTATTAAGTTTTAAAATTTAACTGTGCCTATATTTGCAGGATTATTTACTAGGGAAAAACTAGAAACAACTTAATTTTATATAATAGAAAAGTGGTTAAATAAATCATGGTACATTCTTGCTATGTATTGCCATAGTTACTTATATGAAAATCTATGTAAAATTTATTTAAAAGGAGTTTGTAGGACAATGTACATAATATCAATTAAGTAAAAATAGGGCTGGGTGAGGTAGCTCAATATATATAATACAATCTCAATTAAGTAAAAATAGGGCTGAACAAGGTGGTTCACGCCTGTAATCCCAACACTTTGAGGGGCTGGAGTGGGAAGATCACTTGAGTCCAGGAGTTTGAGACCAGCCTGGGCAACATGGCTAAACCTTGTCTCTACAAAAAAATTAAAAAATTAGCTGGGCGTGGTGGCTGGCACCCAGCTACTCAGGAGACTGAGGTGGGAGAATTGCTTGAGCCTGGGAGGTGGAGGCTGCAGTGAGTCAAGATCCTGCCACTGCACTTCAGCCTGGGTGACAAAGTGAGACCCTGTCTCAAAAACAAATACATAAATTAAAAAAAGTATATTTTCCAAAGGAAAAGGTTTCAGAAGATTCACACTATTTATATTTAATAGTTGGTGTGAATCCTTTGAGAACTTTTCCCTTGAGGAAGAGAGAATGGGATTTTAACTTTTCACAATGAACATGAGGTGCTGTTTTCGTTTTTCATGTAGTGCTATTTTAAAAGAGAACTTTATTGAAGTATGATAAACATAAAATAAATTACACATACTTAGTGTTCAACTGGGTAACTTCTGACATTGTATACATCTGCAAAACCACCATCACAATCAAGATACTATCCATCATCCCCCTAAACTTTGTGTCTCTTTGTAATCCCTCTTTTCCACTTTCTGACCCCACTTGTGTCTGCTAGCAACCACCAATGTACTTTCTGTCTCTATAGATTGGTTTGCATTTTCCAGAATGTTATATATAAATGGAATCATAGGGTTCTGGCTTCTTTCACTTGGCAGAATTATTCTGAGATTCATCCATGCTGTTGCATTTATCAGTAGTTTACTCTTTTTATTGCTCAGTACTATTCCTCCGTATGGATCAATCACAATTGGTTTATCCATTCACTTGTTGATAGATATTTGGTTTGATTCCAGTTTATGGCTATTACAAATACAGCTGCTATGAGCATTTCTGTACAAGTCTTTGTAAGAACATATGCTTTTTTTCCTCTTGGGTAAATAGCTAGGAATGAAAAGGTTGGCTTTGTTTAGCATTTTAAGAAATTGTCAAATGTTTTCAAAGCTGCCGAACCATTTTATGATTCCACCAGAGACAGCAGTATGGGGCTGAGGTAACAAATAGTCCCAGCAGTATGGGGCTGAGGTAACAAATAGTCCCATCACCATCATCGGATGAGGTAATGACAGTAGCCATCAGCTCACCGTATAGGCTTAATCAGGGATTGTCCGTGCTAAAATGTGTCTAGTCCGCTTTAGTCAGATTCCTTTGAGAGTGTGATTAAGTTTCGGTTGGTGTGGCGTGTAGGACGGCACACACACGGATAAATGCCAGGCAGGGATCGCCCACGCTGGAAAGGGCGGTGGCCTGAACAAAAACTACCGCAGTTGGGATGGAGGGAGCTGAAATTCAGACATATGGAAAAGTTAGAATGGTAACTTTTGGTAACGGGGGAAGAGACGCCTCCCATCACCTGGAAACTAAACTCGACGCCTCGGGTTTAGTGACCAGGTGATGGTGGTGCGTGCAGAGGGGAAAAATGGCTTGGCGGGAGGAAAAAGAGGTTATTTTTGGTTTGTCACCTGTAAGGTGCCTATTGGACAAAGATGAAGCTGTTGGGAAAGTGATGGTAACTATACACGTCTGCGTGGAGGTGCAGACTTCTGATGCAATATCTAGGTTTAGGTGAAGTATGAGAAGCAGTTGTAGTCAAATTCGTATCTTTCCGAGCAATCATTCCTACACCTCAGGGAAAACAACGAATCCGTGGTCTCCCCTACGCAGACACGCCCAGAACATGCGCAATGATGTCAGTCTTTTTGGTCTCCGCGCACTCAGTTCTGCACATGCGCAGAGCTGCCGCTCCTTACTCTGGGCGTCGGGACTCCCTTCTCTCCGCGGGCCCCGCCCAGGCGGCTGCCCGTGACCTGCCTGGGCGCGGGGAACGGAAAGCCGGAAGGAGCAAGACGAGTTCAGTTCGCCATGGGGCTGTTTGGAAAAACCCAGGAGAAGCCACCCAAAGAACTGGTAAGGGCTACGGCGGCGGCTGATAAGCGGGTGAATCTGTGTGGGGCGTAGAGGAGTTGGTAAAGGACTGGACACTCTTCTCCCCACCGCCTGCGCGGTACCGCCCGGCCCCCATTTCCGGGGCCTCCCACTCGACCGGGGGGCCGGAGGAAGAGTCTTTAGGAGTCAGCTGTGTGGAGCAAGAGCTCCTGGTGCCTCGGCTCTCGACCAGGTAGCCGACGGCTGGAGGAAGAGTTTGTTCACCTCGCCACCGAGCGTGTAGGCAGCGACACGGCCCCGGCCTCGGAAACCCCTTCTCTTGCGTGCGTTGGTACGACCCGCCCGGAACCTTTTTTGAGCGTTGGCCCCGCCCCTCACCCCCTTCTGCGGACTACCCTGAGAAGCTGCCCCTAACCCGAGTGTTGTTTGAGGCGTTCCGGGTCGCGCCCGCGGGAGCATCCCAGCACTTGCCGCCGGTTCTCCGTCAACCCCGTTGTGTTGAAAAGCAGGCTCTGTTTCCTCTTTTCCCAGCCATACAACCTTGTGTTAACCCTAGGCACATACTATAGCAGGGCAGGGACTCGACCCAGAAGAATGTTACCGAAGATAGCTCTGGACCCGGCTTCAAACTCTGGTTACCTATTAATTGAGACAATATTGGCAGGCAAGCAGTTGAAAGTTCCCTGCAGAATCAGTCAGCCTGAGTTTCCCACATCTCAGCTCTGTTATCTCGGGAAAGTTCTCTTCTCAGTGCCTTAGTCGTCTCGTCTGTTAAACCTGATTAATAGTAGTATCACCTTAGAGTAATTGAAGATTTGGGGATGTAAAGTTTTCGTATTGGCAGTCAGGGCTAATTCTTTAAATAGGGCACACCTTGCTACTCAGGTGACGACAGCAGTATCAACATCATCCGGGAGCTTGTTAAATCTCGGTCCCCACTCCATAGCCACTGAGTCACATTTTGAATTGTGACAAGATCCCTAGTGATTAGTGTGCACATTAGTGCTTTGAGAAGCACTACTCTATAACACCTAGGCTTGTCCATAATGGTAAAAAAAACCCTTGAACTCCTTTAATAAATGATCTTACCTCTTCAGCTCTAGCAGGCACATTTTAAAAACCAATCTTAGGCATCTTGCAATTCCTGGCATAATGAACGTTAATTAAATTTTTGTTGTTAATCAAGGGCCCTAGAAAATAATGAGTAGACACTCATTATTTTCGTCAGGAAATGTTGGAAGTAAAAGTTTGGTGCTGCAAATAAAACAGTTACTCCAACAAAGAAATTCTCAGCAAGGCAATTTTACTTCTGTGGAAGGATATTACTCTCAAGCCTGGTTGCTGTGAGAGCACCTGGAACAAATGAGAGGAAGGTTTTTGTCCTGACGCTTCTACCGTGGTCTGGAGCTGCACTGCACAGTCTAAGCTAAACCCAGTTGGCTAAAAGCTTAAAACTTTCTTAAAGGCAGTGGAGAACAAAGGAAGGGAGGAAGTGCTTGCAAAAAGGCTGGGAAAGCAATAACATGTCCAAATAAGGGAAGGAGTATATGCTATAAGCTGGGCATGTCTGGACGTGCCCAGGCAGATCAAGAGACAAGTGGGTTAGGCCTTCAGAAATTAAAGAACAAGGAGGCAGAATATGCCTTATTTGACTTGATGGGCTTCCTTTTTGAGGAAGAACTTCACTGTATCAGGAAACGTACTCAGTTTTGCTTCTTGGTAAAATAAAAATTGTGGCGCTTAAATGAGATAACAGTGTAACATCACTTTGTAAACTATAGAACATTATATAGATGCACATTTTGTGTCATCTGCATATTCTAAGATGCTTGTTACTGTAGAAGTGTGGTAGGGAGAGATTATCTATTGCCTTCAGTGTTTGGCCTTGGCATTGCCATTTGTAAGTTGAGGTAACATTATGGAGAAACAAAAAAGATCCTGGGAAAATGGTTGCTTTACTATTTAAACTAGTCTCTAGTATATGTACTACTTGTATAACACTTAGATTGTTTTTAAATGATAAATATAATTGCTAAGAACATGAAGTTAGTACACTCTTTCAGTAGGGTATTCTGAGAAAGCTGATTGACTTTGGAAAATAGCAGGGTTGATGTATGAGATTGGTTTTTAAAACTATGCTTGCCAGAGCTGAACAAGTAAGATCATTTATTAAATAACAAAAAAAATTTTTTCCCCCATTAAGTCTGGGTATTGTAGAGCAGTGCTTCTCAAGCATTAATGTGCACACTAATAATTAAGGATCTTGTCAGAATTCAAAATCTGATTCAGTAGGTCTTGGATAGGGCCTGAGATTTCTTATAAGCTCCCAGGTGATGATGTTGGTGCTGCTGGTCTGCACTTGAGTAGCAAGGTTGTAGAGTGAATTATATTAGCCCTAACTACCACCTTTAGCTAACATATTGAACCAGGCATTGTGTTAAGCACTCTGCAACATTATGAGGTAGGTACTATTATTATCTTCACTTTACAGGTGGCAACTGAGGCATACAGCGTTTAGGTAATTTGCCCATGGTTGTACAATTTGTGAAGTACAGCGCCAGAGGTTATGTACTCTAAGGCCTTTACTTATAATACAATGCCATTTATGCTGCCTCTCAAAGAGGAATTATAAAGGTGAAGTAAGAAGCCAAATAACTTAACTTCTAGCAAGTAAGATAAACATTTCAAGAACAAGTTTGGATTGGGCACTGATATGGTTTGGAACTGTGTCCCCAGCAAATCTCACTTCCAGTAGTAATCCCTAGTGTTGGAGGTGGGACCTAGTATGTGGTGACTGGGTCATGGAGGTGGATTTCTTATGAGTGGTTAGCACTAGCACCCTTGGTACTGTCCTTGACATAGCTCTCATGAGATCTGGTTGTTTAAAAGTGTGTAGCACCTTCTCCCTCACTCTCTCTTGCTCCTGCTCCTGCCATGTAAGACGCCTATTCCTTTGCACTTTGCCTTCCCCCATGACTGGAAGCTTTTTGAGGCCTCCCCAAAAGCAAAAGCTGCTATGCTTCCTGTAGACCTTCAGAACTGTGAGCCAGTTAAACCTCTTTTCTTTTTATAAATTACCCAGTCTCAGGTATTTCTTTATAGCAATGCAAGAACGGACTAATACAAGTACCACATACACAGGTATAGGATTTTAGTGGTTGGTGTGATTATCTCCAGGCTGAGATGATCAGAAACAGTTTGACCTTTCACTATCATGTGTTCCATCCTCTTCCTACATGGGTATGAAAGCGTTCTTGAGTATTTAGGGTTAAATGATCCATTTTATCTGGTGCTGGAGATACCCTGCCCAAGTTTTTCTTCAAGTTCCAACTCAGTTCTTCTAGGTACTCCTTCAGTTCTGATTATATGTTTTAGTTTGTTAGAAGAGTATCCATCTACTTTAGAGCCAGCTTCTACCGAATTCTAGGCTTTCTCTCACATCTATGACTTGTGACCAAAGAAAGTGTTTTGTCACCAGCCCTGGTTACTTAGCATGAGTCTGTAATTCAAGAAAGTGCCAATAAAGCAGGGACAGTGTCTTAGTGAGGGTACTCCAAAGAAGTAGAACCAATAGGATGGAGAGATAGATAAGTAGTTGAGAGAGAATTTAATATGGAAATTGACTGGGGATTATGAAGGCTGAGAAGTCCTGTGATATGCTGTCTGTAAGCTGGAGAACCAGAGAAGCCAGTGGTATAGTCCAGTCTGGGGTTGAAGGCCGGAGAACCTAGTGAGTGGGGGAACACTGATGGAAGTCCCAGAGGCCTGAGAGTAAAGAACCTACATTTCTAATGTCCGAGAGCAGGAGAAGGGTATCCCAGCTTCAGAAGAGGGCAAAAACTTGCCTTTCTTCTGTCTTTTTCTTTTATATCTAGACCCTCAACCGATTGGATGGTGCCCATTCAAATTGGGTGAGGGCAGATCTTCCTTAGTTCACTGAAATGCCAGTCTCTTCCAGAAACACCCTCATAGACATACTCAGAAATAGTGCTTTACCAGCTATCTGGGTATCCCTTAGCCCAGTTGAGGAGATACCTAAAATAAACTATCACAGATGGGAAATACTTTTTCCTCTGTAGAGCTGCTGATGCACTGATAAAGTATTGAGAGCTGTGTATGAATAAGAAGCCAAGTCATGTTAGTTTGGCTTTTTTTTTTTTTAAGGGAGAAAGAAAACACTTAAGCTAAGTGAAGGAATTTTTTAAAAAATAAAATGTTGGCAGAAATGGAAGAGACGTTAGAGAGGGAATTGACTAAATGCTGTAGTCTCAGCTGGGCAATTTTTGAGTTGGAATAAACTTACAAGACAGCTCCTTCCATTTGGGACTGAAAGGTGCAGGCATGTGGGTGTGGGTCCTGGCACAGGGTAAGTAGAGGCCAGGTTGCAGTCATATCACACCATCATGGTTGTCACACATAGGACCATTTAGGCCATGGTGACAGGTCAAATTGGGCAAGTAGGATACATTATGGGTGGTATCTCCAGAGCTCTGATGTGATATGCAGCATGCAGGGGTGCTAAGTAAATGTTTGTTAAACGATGAGTATCAGAATAAGGTTAAGTAGGGTTTAAGGTCAGGTAGTCCCAAGATGAGCAATGTTTCCAGGAACTCTCTAGGGAAACATTAGCTATATTAGGAGCCTCTACAGACTAAAATTTTTGCCCCTGCACCTCTGAGGCATTTTGGTGGAGACATCTTAGTGGTGAAACCTATTCTGTTTTTTTTTTTTTTTTGAGACAGAGTTTTGCTCTTGTTACCCAGGCGGGAGTGCAGTGGCGCAATCTCGGCTCACCGCAACCTCCGCCTCCTGGGTTCAGGCAATTCTCCTGCCTCAGCCTCCTGAGTAGCTGGGATTACAGGCACGCGCTATCATGCCCAGCTAATTTTTTGTATTTTTAGTAGAGACGGGGTTTCACATGTTGACCAGGATGGGCTCGATCTCTTGACCTCGTGATCCACCCGCCTCGGCCTCCCAAAGTGCTGGGATTACAACCTATTTTGTTTTAAAGGATGCAAGTC